GATAAATAAATTCGATTTGTGAAATATTCTTTCAGGGTTTTTTTCGCTTATATTCGAGCAGTCACTTGGGACGAAGGCCGCCGCCAAGGCTGCAGGGGTGGAAGGACACTCCGCGTGTTCTCCGACCAGAAAATTACATTAAGCCACCAACGAGGGTCGACGTCAGTTCGAATGTACCCACGAGATCCTTTCGCGACCTATCTCGGGGATGGGGTTTATTATTTCGTTTGCTGTGTCGGTTTGTTCGTTTTGACCGGTGGGTAGATAGGTAGGTATAAAGTATACGAAAAATAAATCCTGGTGTTAGATTATTATTTCAGTTTCTGAGTGTATAGAATATAGAATATTTTCTGCAGAATGAAAGATAAACAACCTATAATAAACGACAATAATGGCAGCGATAATATTAACAATAATAATATATAATAATCGAAATTATAAAATGTCGGTAACTCAGTACTCACAAGCGGTGGGGGTAGCCATTATCCTCCCCAGAGTAGCCCATTTGCACCCAAAATAAAAAGCATAAAATCCTGATTTACCTATAGCCGAAATGTGCTCATTCAGAATGAAACGCGTTACCGTCAGTTATCGTAAAAATGCAAAAAATATTAATATCTAATAAATTTCAAAAATAATGAGTGTCTTACCATCGATTATAAATAGTATTATTACGTTGAAATCATTCTGTATAAGTATAACTGACAATTGTATTACAATAAATTACATACATCATATATGTACATTTATTATATTATTGTATAATACACAAGTTCGTTACAATGGTTAATAGGTAGGTACCTATATTATATTTGTACAAAATAATTTAATATCTAGAAATAATAGATAGGTACATAATATACCGAACTTTCAAAATAAAAAAAACTCAATATTTATATACAGTGTATACTGTATATCTAGGACATAGGTATACGTTTCTATAGATGTATTATGTACCTATTATATAAAAATATATTATAATCCAGTGGCGACTCATAAGCGTGACTAGACTTCATCAGCAGGGCAGCCTAGCTAATAACCGGTGCTACCTTATTAGTGAACTGAAAAAGCCCTATACACCCAAAGCCGTATTTTTTTAAGCCCCCCCCCTCCACAATTAAATATTTAAATAATTTTAAAAAAGTTGAAATTATTTATCTACAATAATAATCTAAGTACAACAACTTCAGAAATATTATTCATCTACAGCCTTGGATTACCTACACCAAATATAGCTACAAATCAAAAATAATACAACAATAATATCAATAATACCTATAGATGAGTACTGTACCGTCACCGTCTGTCTCAAGTCTTTATAGAAGGTTTTTCCGATTTCGGAAGTCAGGAAATCAACCTTTATTCAAAGAGAAGTGCCACCCGAGACCAAGGTTCGAACCGGCGACCGACGCTTTAGTCCACTCGGCCACACCGTCCCCCTTACATATTAAATAACCAAGAATAGATTTTTGTTATTTTATAACATTAGACATTTTGATAGAAGACATTAGTCTTATGTTACTACCTTAACCAAAATAAAAAAACTAAAGTAATATTAATTTTTTATGAGCTTTTGACTTAAAAATGTTGACGATATTTCAATATCATTGGTAAATGAAATGACCATTTTCATCTATCAATTTTTGATATTTTGTTTTAATTCAAAAACGAATAACCTTAAGTAGTTAAGAACCTACTTAAAATGTCCACCACGGATATAGATAGGTGCCAAATGTTCTTATCAAGTTACATATATTCATACCACGGTTAAAGATAGACTATCTTAAACCGTGATTCATACAAGTATATAGTATCCATACAAGAAGTCGCGAAATACTAGCGCTCCACAGTGGAGTGGACCAGTAACCAGGTGTGGTTACCGTAAATTAGCAGTGGTTGTAGAGGGCGCTAGTAAAACCACAGAACAATAAAACGCGACTTTTTGTCAGAATTGATGAGAACATTCGGCCCTGTGATCCACTACGGGCCGTCGTGCATCAATAGTATCTATAATTATTAATTTCTTTTTTGACTATGGTATGTACTAAATTTGATTTTTCATACAAGTATGCTGTATGCTTAGGCGCTTGGCTGATACAACGCGTCGGCTCATGATCGTTTTTCGTATACTATGATTTTTCATTGAATTCAAATATAACACAATATATTCATTACAATGACGTGCTCGACAACTAATCATCAGAGCGGTACCCACTTGTACACTTTTTTGTTGTTGTTGTTGTGTACAAATGGTTAGTAAAGGTGATATTTTTGATTTTTGCTGTACTAGTGTAGGTAAATTTATTATTTACATATTTCAAATATTAGGGTTTGACAAATTCTACTACAATACCATCTTTAAAAAATAATAGGTACACAAACAAGGAAACAAAAGTTTTGTGTTAATTGATACTTTTATCCCAGACGATGAAAAATCGCCGGATTGTATCCAATCCGACGTTGCTCGTAGGTTGGATTCCGTAAAAACGACAAACTTGGTGATACTTTTAGAGTTAAACTATAAACTTATACTTAAGCACCTCGTTGGGTCTGTAATCCACTGGAGGAAATTCGTAGGATGATTTACCATTTTCGGGATTTTTGAGATCGGGAAACAGTAGATGTACGCTCACTTTGTTTGGAAAAATTATCTGGACCCCTTCTATGAAACATTCCTTAATATAACACTGCGCTGGACCCATTAATAGTTAATAAAGTACAATACAGTAATCTATACTATAAAAGCTAAATAGAAATCTTTGTTAAGGGTTGGCTCCGAAACGGCTTGACGTATTCGGCTTATTCTTTTATTGTTGTGTTCATAATATTGTCAGTACAAGGTTCTTATGAAAGAAAATTTTAGGAAAATTCACCGGAAAACTAGGAAAACTGGAAACCAAAAATACAATAGTGGCAAAATCTAACCAGGAGAAAAATAAACATTTTAGTAATATATTTTCGTTTATTATTTAGTTTTAGTTGTTAATATCGATCATTTTTTTTATCGGTCAGAATTTATTGTTTTATAATGCCTATAAAGATGCCGCTCCACAAAAGGAGGATGAGGATGAGCTCATCTTGGAACAATATAGTTGTAGATGAAATTAATTACATGTCTTTCAGGCGATGCAACGAGGGGTTATTAATTTGGGGTCAGATAAAGACTAAGAAATAAGATATTAAGGTTAAGTATTAAGATTTTGATTGGAGATATAATTGTTTGTCCATTTTGTTCTGTGCTGAAATTAAAATCAGAAACTCCTTCAATGTGTTTGTCACGTATGCTTATTATATATTATGTATATCTATGCACTTTAATGAATACCTTGTCTTTATCAGTGTATTATTATTATTATTATTAATGTTAATTATTGTCGCTAGATCGGCGTCTCCCTCTTACACTGCTGTAAGTCGGACGTGAGCACTATGTCGAGCATAATATCGTGTAAAAATAAAGAAAAAATTTACAGTCCACTTAAAATAAATGCGTTAAATGTATTAACCAGCGTAACAGTGCTGCTCTATACTATAAAATAATACTATAATACTATATTTAAGTGCTAAATATATGTGTGAAAATGAAATCTTTGTGTCGAATGTACTCTACAACTATATACACATCCGATTTCCTTGATTTTTTTTTTAAATAAATAGTACATCACGGAGAAGGCTATAGGCTTAATTTCAAGGTAATTTTGTAATTATCCAAACTACCTGACTGGTTTATGCATACCTTGACCGAAATATAATTCATATATATTTATAAAATAAACAAATCTTAAGGCACGTCCAGACGGAGCAGCTTTTGAGTGTGAATACATAAATACATTTTCCTCGGCTTTTTTTGATGCCGCGCGGCATAATTTCCGATCGGCCTAGTAGGCGGTCTACATCAAAGGAAAGCCGCGCGGCGTGTGCCTCTCGCCTATGCCGCGTGTGTGTGGACGTATTTTCGGCAAAGCCGCTCGCCATCAGTACTTATTTTTTAAGTATTTAAATTATTTTTTAAGTAATTAGTAGCAGAACAAACTTTTTTCATTTTCACTGAGGTAAAACTGATTTCTGTTGTAATCCCCAGTGGATACAATTTTTATTTTATCAAAATGTCAATACTGAAGATTTTCTGTTTTTAAAAATACAAAGATCAATAATGATTTTTCAAAAATCTTTAATTTCATGTTTTTTGAGATTCAAAAATATAGGTTACTAGCTGATCTCCGTGCACTTCGTTGCCCATTAAAAATGACAAAACTCTATAGTAATTATGAATAATATATTATTATTAAAATAGCAGCTTTAAAACCCATAGCGACCATTTATAAACAAAAATCCCTGTTTGAGCACCTTCCGGGGTTGGTCCTCCCCCTTCATAAATTAGCCTATCTTCTGCCCATCTAATCTATCACTGTACCAAATTTCATCAACATCGGTCCAGTCGTTTAGGAACGCATAAAGGACACACAGACAGACAGACAGACAGACAAACATTCATTTTCATAATATATAGGGATATGTGAATAACATAACCACTATGATCAACTTTACCGACGGACTAAAATAATATTTCTGTTTTCGTGTCAAACTCCCATATTTTGTGCCTATAGGCTACAAGCGACTAAATCGTAGGTATTTTCGTTATTTTTATGTTACTAAAATTATTTTAAGAATAACGTTATATTAAAAGTAATTAATTTAATTAAAAATACTTTAAGGTACATGGACAAATATTTATATTTAATTAAAATGTAAAACCCAAAAATTCTTGTTCAGTTTTAATAAGCCACTGTCTAAATTAAGAACCCCATATATTATAAACCCATGAACATGGATATTTATTTTTAATATTAAGCAATAATAGTAGAGTAGGTACCTACACACAAATTATAGACAAAATACCTCAGTCACTCCACTATATTTTACAAGTGTTGATGTGTATCTACAGTACTGAGTACACTATATTGCTATTGAAATTCAATGTGTTGTGAAAATTTGCATTAAAAATGACCGATCAACCGACAAGTAGTGTTGAATGGTCAAATGAAAAGTGCCTACTGTTGATATATTTATACAAAGAATCGACAAATCTTTGGAACACCAAACACAAGGACTATAGAAATCGATACATAAGACAAGATAGTTTGCTAGAAATTAGCAAACATATGGATACGTCAAAAGAAGAAGTTGACCGAAAATTAAAAAATTTAATTTGTCACTTTTGGTGTGAAGTAAAAAAAGTTAAGCAACAGCGTTCTGGGGATGGTGCTGATGAAGTTTACTGCTCCAAATGATTCGCTTTCAAAAGCTTCGAGTTCTTGAAGGATAGAAATGACTGACGACCAACTATCGAAACTGGCACCGTACAGGTATGCATCATAAAAATACATTGTATTTTTTTTATTAAAAACGTAAATAAGCGAACAATTGCTTAAATAGATATTTGCTTATTTATAATTTACATTAACCTTTTTAATACAAAACAAAATATAATTAAATATATATACAACAGACTTCGACAGTGGCGTATATAGAAATTATTTTTGGGGTGGGCTATAGCAGATAGAAACTAGCAGGTGGATCCATTACTTAGAGGCTGCTGTCTACTATATTATATTTAACAGTTTTTATAAATATATTCGTATTCGTTATTTTTCAACAGGCTATGAAAGTATGAAATATTACAACTTATAATAGTACCTAATAAAATATATTGTTATTCTATTTAAAAAGACTGTAATTTCAGGGGGGGAGGGCTGCAGCCCAATAGGTCCACCCCTTATATACGTCACTGGACTTTGATATACCTAATAATAATAGTTAGTATTTTTCTCAAGTCATATTAATATTGTATGTGCATAGTATAATAATATAAGCATTACTACTTATTGACATTTGGCAATAATGAAATACCAAAAAACAAAATTAATACATTTATTTATTTTTAAATAGTTGATTTATTTACCTAACCTTTGGTAAAATTAACACGTATCATATAAAATAATCATATATTATAATAAATAATTTACATACATACTGATACTATAAGTACACATATTTTATGCACATAAATCTTGCCACGGAACTCGTCCTTCATTTGAATTAAAATACTCTTTAAAAATCTGCAATGAATACATACGGAATCGGATTACTCCTTCCTCTCAAAGGTCGAGAATCAGGAAGTTTAAGTTGACCAGATATCATTAAGTTTTTGAATTTCATATTGTCAAAAACACCACCATCAGAAATACGTCCCTGACTACCAACATTAGCCCATATTACATTATAATTAGAATCGGATGCTGCCATCAAAACAATACTAAAAAAACCTTTATAATTATAATATTCTGTTCCACTATTGGCACTATTCATCGGTGATTGCAATGCTATGTGCTTGCCATGCCATCCCATGAGCCGATACAATTTGGTACATTCCATCTCGTTTCAAAACCGTTGGCAATATCAAGCCATTCTTCGACAGTATTCGGTCTCTATAAAAAATACAAAATGATAGTGAAATTGTATATGATTTTGAATTATAATAAATAACTAATAAGTAGGTAGGTAGGTATTAACTCAAAAAACACATAAGTATTCATAAATAATAATCAAAGATTAAATAAATTAAAAATATATATAATAAAATAAATTTTACTTTTTATACTTTTAAAATATATTGTACCTTATTAATATTTTTGCTATTCAATTTTTAGATTCTGAGTGAAACGATGAATGTATTGATTTTACAATGATGTGTGTTTTTATATTTTTTTATTTATTTTTTATTTTTGTGTCTGTGTACACGATAAGTAGTCGAAATAATGCTTCGATTTTCGACTTCAGTATCTTGTTGGATTGGAAAAAGAATATCGTTGGTGCATTGGGGAGGTCAAAATTTTAAATTCCTAATAGTTTTCACAAGCGCCGGAAATAACAACATAAAAATTAAGGAAAAACGGGAATTTTTACGCAAAATCGGCTTTTCACAAAATCGAATTTGGTTTTTGGTGTAACTTTAAAACAAATGACTGTAGGAACATGAAATTTTGACTGGTTGTTTATATTTTCCTTTTCTATACACGATAACATTTTCAAAATATTTTGATTTATTTTGAACTGTTTAGGGACATTTTCATTTTCCATTTTTTTTTAGTTTTTTTTCTTAAAATATCAATTAAACTTTGTTTGTTGAGTAGAAATACTTGAAAATTTAATACAAGGCTCCTAGTATATTGTTTCAAATGCAGATGATAAATATTAAAAATCGTTAGTCACAGTTTTTTTTATAAGCATTTAAAGTCCAAAAATTGAGAAAATATGAAAAAATCACGAAAATTGGCAAATTATTTTGAGTTAAGAATTCGTAAAAATTTTTCTTTTTAAATCTAAGATTTGAAAATGTAATACAAGATTACTCATAAGTTTGTCTATCTTTATCAATAAAAAAATCTCTACCGGACAGTCAAATTAAATTTTTATGAGCGTTTGAAATTCAAATTTTTACAACATTGGATATTCACTCGATTTCTCATGTAGCGATTTCCTTATTTTGTTGTAATTTAAAAACGAATAACTGTAGATACCTGAAAATTTCACTGAATGTTTATATTAGCATTTCCTATACACCATACAATTTTGAAAATATTTTGACTCTTTTTGAGCTGTTTACGGACATTTACAGCTTTCAATTTTTTTTAGTTTTTTTTTCTATAAATATCAATTAAGTTTTATCTGTTGGGCCAAAAAGTGTAAAAATTTAATACAAGACTCCTGATATATTGTTACAATATCAGTTGAAAATATTAAAAATACATAGGCACAATTTTTTTTTATAAGCATTTAAACATCGAATTTTGACAGAATTTTTCAAAATCTCGAAAATTATTAAACATCGTAATTAATAAATTAGAAAATGTTCAGTTATATAGCTAAGGATTGAAAATTTAAAACAAGATTCCACGTAAGTAGTTAATTCTCTTACCGAAAAATCTAAAAAATATACAATCACAGTTTATTTTTATAGTCATTTTATGTTCAAATTTGGACGAAATTACATATTAAAAAACCTAGTTATTTTGTTGTGATTATATAATATTATTCGTGGGTTAGGTACTTGAAACTTCTAAAGTGTACTATTATATATCTATGATAGTATCAGGGTTTGTTATTGATGTTGATGTATAACGTATTAACGTGTTATAAGTACCTCCTAATGGCAGAGGCGGAACTAAGAATTTTTACGCCCGGGGAAAATATTAAAATTAAGGCCAATCATAGACCAAGATTGAAAATACAATATCATTCCCTACAATTGTTTTATCATAACTGGGACTAAAATTACAAACATACTTATTAACTTTTAAACACATAATAATATATAATAATTAATATATTCTGTGGACTGTAGTGTAACCAAGTTTATACTAATAAACTATCACACCAAAAACACTTTAAATTTAAAAACTTAGTCAACATATTGTTGATACATTTTTAATTACTGGAAATACTGTATTGGTTACTTAATTGTATTTATTATTAGAAATAATAATAATATTAGTTATATATTATATATAAATGTTGAAAAATAATCAAAACTTTAATTACCTACCTATCCTGTATACAAATTGTAAACACTTTTGCTGTTTTGGTTCTATGCGCCTCAGCCTTCAATTATAATAGATTTTTATGGTAAAATATAAAATCTTTTATTCTGATTAGGGTACACAATTTAGGCCAGTAAAAAATTGTATTTAATTAAACAATTTATAATAAAAAAAATGAAAAAGTAAATATTTAAATATCACAGTTATTGTGTAGGTATCAGAAATTTTAACGAAAACACAGCATCAATAAATGCCTAGGTATAGTTACTAGTTACATTTTCACTCAGAATCTAAATAATTATAGAATATTAGTTGTATATGCTTGCAGTAGGTATGCTAATGACAGTATACCAGTATATACTTAGTATACTAATACGCAGTGTTGTAAAGTATTTGAGTAAAAGTATTCAAATACTTTTTTCCGTATTGAATACTTTTTCAAATACTTTTATTTTTGAAGTATTTGAACGGTATTTTAAATACATTTTTTTACTATTGAATACTATTTTATTGAATACTTTTTTTATTCCTTCAACTTTTTATTCATTGTCAAATAATAATAATGTCTTAATAATAATGTCTTATAATATATATATTTATCATTTATGAACAATTCTATATTAGTTTTAGTTTTCGTCTATTAATAGCTAATTAATATTAGTTACTCTGAGAAACCGTCTGTTTATCGTCGACACTCGACGACGATCGGAACGGTACGTTTCGGTACCTACTACCTACCAATATAGTATATTATCATAGCGAAATATAATACGAACATTAGGTAGGTAAGGTATGTCGTATACGTACGTATTTTTTTGTTTTGTATTTGAAAATTATTTCAAATACTTCTAAAAAGTATTTGAGTAATACTCAAATACTTTACAATAGATAGTATTTGGGTGGTATTTTAAATACTTTATTTTATAAGTATTTGAGTAATTACTCAAATACTTTTTAAAAGTATTTTTTACAACACTGCTAATACGAATCTATTCATAATCTTACTATTAACTTTATTTTTTTTTTTCATTAATTCCAACGTCATCACTACAACATCATAAACAAATAATGTGAAATAAAAATGTTTTCTTAACTTCTATCACCAAGCATTAAACAAAGAACTAAAGAAAAATTACGCCCACTAAAATTTTACGCCCGGGGATCAATCCCCGGCTTCACCCCCCTAGTTCCGCCCCTGCCTAATGGATATTGTGATAATGTGATATGATTAATTTGGAATTTATTATAGGTCAATTTTTTTTTTAATACCATATATGTATATAATTTGTCGTAAACCTAGACTGACATACCGTCTTCGCTCAGAATCGTTTTTCTTATACAATGATATTGTATCATTGAATTCAAATTTAATACAGTGACCCACTTGTAACCTACTGTACAGCAGAGCGACATCCACTTACCCACCTTTTTTTTTATGTTAAATTTTTATTATATTATTTATTTAATGGTCATTAATGTTTTAAAATTATAAGCATATAATTGATATAGTGATTAAATATTATGTATTATTTTTATAGTACCTAATTTGATTATAAAGTATAAACAGATTTACAGATCATTTTATGTGGCCTATATCTAAATAAAATTATATGTAAAATTAAAATAGCATAAACCTATGTACTTCTTTTTAGGTAAGTGATATCAACACAGATGAAGACATTATTTTAAATCAATCATCGCAGTCAATTATTTCAAATCTGTTATCTGTTTCACATACGAACTCAGCTTCTCCATAGGAACCGAACACTTCAAATCCAGCGAATAAAGGAATCAAAAGAAAAGGGAAAAAAGATGTTATAGGAGAACAGATTGTTAATATGGTTCGTGGTATTTATGATAATCGATCTGCACGAGATGAATTTGTGTTACTTGGCAAAGAAGTTGCAAATGGCGTTCGAAATTTAAATACCGACTATGCTCGGAAAACAATTAAATTTAAAATTCAAACTATGCTTTATGAAGCCTCACTAGGTCACTATGATTTTCCACCTAATATGCAAAACTATTCTCTTCATTCTTACAATATGGGTGCCACAGAACAAATTAACGATATTGGTCCATCAACATCAGCTACGATAGTTATACCTGATCCAAAAGAAACCAATAGCGATATGAATCGTCCATCCGATATATTGTCCCAATCACTTGCCTTTATGAATGATTTTTAATTGAGAAATAAAAAATAAAAATATCTTAAAGTACATACATTTTTTCATAATTTCAATTATATTTAAGTACCCTTATTTGGTTTGAAAATATTATTATATATAAATTTATTATTATTATATATAATATTATTAATACAAATATATATAATTATATAATAGTTATTTTATATTAAAATATATAAATATAAAAATATTTTATTTCATATCTTAATATTGGTAAAATGAAATAAAAAAGCGAGTAAGTGAATATCTCTCTGCTCTACAGTAGTCAGTAGGCTACAGATGGTCACTGTATAATGGATGGTATTAAATCTGAATTCAATGATCTAATATCATATTATATGTATATTTTTATTACATATTATTAATATGGTAGCCGGTAATTTGAATTAATTTTATAAAATTACAACAAAATAACTAAAATCTTGGTTATTTAATGTATAATCTCGTCCAGATTTGAACATAAAATAACTATACAAAAAATTGTTTATATTTTTTAGATTTTTTGGTTATAGAACCTACTCACTTGGAATCTTGTTTTACATTTTTAATCCTTATAAGAGATGAATATTTTAAAAATTATTAACTACAAATTCATTTAAAAGTTTCTATTTTTCCTTAATTTTTTTTTTTGTTTTTCCTAGTGCTTTTGAAAACTACTGGGAATTTCTTACTTCTGTCCCCCCAAAGTACCAACTATATTCACTTTTCTATCAGAAATGATGCTGTTAAAGAAAATCTAAGCATCTTTATCTCTTAAAAAGTATTGAGACACAAATAAAAAAAAAACACACAGTTTTAAAACCAATATATCAGAATCTAAAATGTATATTATTCAACGCTCATAGCTCATAATAGATATAACTTGTAGTTATGGTTAAATTTTACCTTTTAAAATTGGTATTTAGACAATAATAAAATATAAGATACATTTAGATCAGGTTTTCATGGTAATTGGTAGCCATAGTACGTGTACACTGAGTTTGCTCTTGTTTAGTATCTGATTATTTATAAAATATAATTAATAATATATTTGACTTACTTTAATAAATTCTTTCAGTACATCAATGATAGCAGTACAAACTTCGGGAACAATTTCTGAAATTGACCTGTTTAGATATTTTAAATAAATATGATAAGCTCATATATGAGTCACCGATAGCTAAAAATCTTAGCGTAACTACGAGCCTTTCTTGCACTGGTATAGCTTCACTGTAAAGACCTGCAAGGGCCGGGCCGGCCCGATCCGGTCCTTAAAAAACCCTGCCCGTAGTAATATTGGACCGGGCCGGTATAAAATAAAGGGTTGGACCGGGCTTTTTTTGTACAATTTTTCGAGCCGGGCTGGGCCGAACTTCAAATAATAAATCAAGGGTTGGACCGGGCTTTTTTAAACCTTGGACTTTTATTCCGGGCCGGGCCTGGGTTTTTTTTTGTACAATTTTTCGGGCCGGGCCGGGCTGGACTTCGAATAATAAATGAAGGGTTGGACCGGGCTTTTTAAGGATTTTTCTTCGACAATAAATAATCACAATTTAAAATAATAAATAATAATAAAAATATGAACATTATTATGGTAAGACAAATTAAATATATTGGAGCTTATAATTCAATTTATAATATAAAAACTTAATAAATAAATCATTTTTTATATAATATAATAATTAATAGGTTTGTTGATATAATGATATTCCATTGTGGTGGGTACTGAGTACAGTATCGATTGAAAATGTATGTGATTTTATAGATTTATAGATATTATAGATTAAATATATCATTTGGATAAGTTGATTCTATGATTTTATTTAGAGGAAGTGTAGGTTAAAATTGTAAAAATTGTGGTTGAGTGAGGATAATAGTAAGTTGACTTTTATTTAATGTGATGTTTTAATTTTTTAATGTTTTTAATCATGTTGAGATCTACCTTGTTTGACTTAATTTTGTGATTGATTTTTAGGAGGTAAATTAAAAGTATTTTCTGTTATATGTACCTAGCTAGTTTTTATCAAGTTACAGGTAAATGCAATAGGTATAGGTAGTAGGTACATTAACCCCAGTTATCTTAAGACATTGTCATGTAAAGATTGTTGTAAAAAACCACATTTTTAAACCAGTCCTACAAAAAAAAATGTCGGGCCGGGCCGGGTTTTTTTTTCATAATATTTTGTGGACAGGGCCGGGCCGGGCCTGAGGATAATGTTGATGGACCGGACCGGGCTTTTTCGAGCTTAGCATTATTTTGGACCAGCCCAGGGCTTTTTTTCACAATATTTTTTGGACCGGGCCTGAGGATAAAATTGATGGACCGGACAGGGCTTTTTACGAGCTTAGCATTATTTTCGGACCGGGCCAGGGCTTTTTTTTCCCAATTTTCTTTGGACCGGGTCGGGCCGGACCTGAGGATAAAATTGATGGACCGGACAGGGCCGAAAATTTACAGCCCTTGCAGGTCTACAAAATTAGCTTGCCTCATAAAAGTATCAGATTTTTTTATTATTGGCTCTATTTTGCACAATATGTATACAAAATCTGAACTTGACATTCTTAAAAAATTATGAAATGAACCTCGTAATTCAAAATTTAATTCATCATCTTCTCTTAATTCGTTTAATAATTTTGATCCATTTGCAACTTTTCTGCTCTGCAAACTTGGGCGAACCCACCATTTTTTTTTCGCGCTTTTGTATGATTTTTGTACGCATACAACAACGCAAGCGCACAAACGACATCCTCCTCCGATGACATTTTGCCACTAACTGATTTAGTCCAAATTATTGTCTACTGGAAGATAATCGGGAAATAAAAGCTGCTCCGTCTGGACGCGCCTTTATGCACGACTGCATGAGCAACAGCCCCACTATTTGCAATCAACTATTCGCGGAGGTGGAGCAAGCGGGACACAGCTAGTATTAATATAAAACGTACCTTATTAGTATAAGAAAAATGAAAATAAGTTATATAACAGTAATATATTTAGTAAATAATATAGGATTATTTTGTAAATACAATTTATAATAATATTATGAACTGAAACAGCACCAGTATATTATTATGTAGGTAGTCTTAAAAAAATATTTTTCACTAATTTTTAATTTTATAGTTGAGGGCCGAGTGGACCGAGTCGGTCACGGGCGGCACTTCTCTTTGGGCAGTCACCGGGTCTGGAAAGGCCGCCACCCCCCGCCAGGGTATGGCAGATACCTACGGGTGCCCACTTGAAAATCCGGCAGTGTTTACGTGTTTACAAAAACCTACAGTACCCTCCCCAGTTAAAAACCACCCAATGGCCTAAATTTCGGCGGTTTAAATAATAAAAAAAAAATGTATAGTAGGTACTTACTTTATAAGTCTACACATAGACATTAAATAAAATAAAAGTATATATATTGACCTCCATAAAATTATATTTTCTATACTTAAAACACATACAAAACTTATGTACTTATAAGGAATCAAAAAAAAAAATATATAAATATATTTATAGATTATACAGAAATTATGGTATTTATGGACAAAGTTCCAGGTGCCGACACTACTTTATTACAATATATTAAATTACGAGTACTAACAAGTATTGGTTGAAAGGGCTAACTTAATTTAAATGAATCGCTTAAAATTCTATAAAACACATTATACAGAATATCTAAGTATAATTTTTCATATTAGTTATATACTAGAAAAACGTAATCTATAGATAAACTAAATTTATTTCAGGTTGAGGTTTTTTACTTATATATTATATATATATATATATATATATGTGTGTATTTTATTTTGTACTAACAGTATATACGCAACGTAATGTAAGACGATGGTTCGTCGTAAAATTAGACAACTACAAGTGTCAATAGCTAGATATTTGTAAGTTTTTACGTGAGTCACCTAGAGTACAATCGGTACTATTTTCCAGTAACGCCGTAACATGAAAATAAATAAAATATTATAATACATATTATGGTAGGTATATATACTTGTGCAGTTATTTAATAAATTAAGGAAATCGTAAGATATAAAAAAAACTAATTAAGTTAGGGTACAATTTTTTTTCAAATACAAAATGGGAAACGCCGAGAACAACAATTCGTGTTTTCCCGGAAAAGTTCCGATATCTTAATAGTCACTCAATAATTTGAAGTATAAAATATACGATTAAGTCATTAAGATGATAAAAAAACAGTGATTTTGGCATACATTTTTAAAACAAAAAACGCTAGTGAAATCGCCAAAAAATATTAATAACAAATTTGTAGATCAGACTAAAATTATAAAAGAATATAAAATCTTGAAAGGTATGTCAAGAAGCAAAACAGGTTTTTCCCGTAACCGCCTGGTGGCTTCCTATTTTTAACAGGGTATAGACGTTGTTGTATTGGAGGTAAGCAATACTCGTAGCTACATAAATAATAAAATATCATAACATATTATACACACGGAATCAGACAGAAGAGAGAGAGGGCAAAATAGCTCTTAAACAAACTATTGTACAGTTAAACACATTACTGATTACGTGCGTACTTATTTGGGTAGTGCCAGTGAAGCGGCTTATCAATAGTTTTTACATGCAACCGGAAAATCATAAGGAAAGAATTTTATGTCTATTTATCAATAATATTCTAAAATATTCTAAAATATTCTAATAATATTCAATCATATTCTAAAATTAAATTTTCCAACGCGACAGTAACGGGATTAACATTTGGCGGCAATTCTTCCATTCTGGAATAGGATCCTATTAAACTTTTGGGTAAATATACGTAGTACTCGTCGCCAAAGATGTACTCCGAAGTATGATTCGGATCTTTGATTTCCGATCTGAATTTTATTTCTTTGTTTAGTTTTTCAGAGGTCGTCAGTAAATCAGCTCCAATATCGTGTATATCTGGTATATACATCAATCCTTCAGGGTTGACAATGAAGGCTGCGGAAAAACAAAAACGAAATAAAATGAACAAAAAAAAAACAAAAAAAAAAAACAAACATCAACAACACGCAATTACGCCAAAGCAATCGTATTATCCATAATATATATTATATGCATACTTGGGACACAAGCGTTTAAATCATCCCAAACAATTTGTTTGACCTACTTTAACTATAGGTGCCTACCTATTTTTAATCTTATAACATTAGTATCCAATAGGCAAAATTCTAAGCGCCACCCCTATTTAATATGCTTCTCAAAATACGTCTTCATTATTCATTATGATTAATAATTTCATAAATAATAATATCTCAAAGACTAGACTATTTAGTTGATACATGATAGTATGAAGATCGTAGGTGCAGTTCTGTGTATATAGTTTAAAGTTATCGGTGCAATCATCTCGCGGACCATCTCCTTCCCCTACACCCTTTAATTTAGTACGATTCATTCGAATATAAATCTAATAATGCACATAAATACTAGTAAGTAGAAACATAATACCTAATATATATTACGGTATACCCGGCCGGTGAAGGAAGAAGAAAGTGGTGTGAACAGAAACCACCGAAATAGTCTGGCCGGGAGATAATATATGGTAGGTGGCTTTGGATTTTATTCCCATCGATACATAAAGAAATGCAATTATTTCAGAATTTTTTTTTATTATTTGTAGCATACTTAACGCGAGATATTTCATGCATAGGTCCACTATAGGTCCAATATAAAAAATGATTGGTAGTAATTTATGAAAATAAATATATATTTCAATAATTTTTCAATTATTTAGTAGATATAATAACAAATTAGGTATGCTAAATTAGTATAAAAAAAATTTGTTTTATACTATTGTACTATTGTGAAGCGTAGGTATTGAACAAATAAAATAATTTTTAATGATTAGAATTAAGTCCAAAAAAAGACAGTACAATTTTACAACGTTAAAAGTTAATCGATTTGATCATTGTAAATATAATTGTCCCTTTGCACAAAAACAAATAATAATAATTGAACATGTTGATACAATTATAAAATAGACATGATTTATTTATTTAACTTAAAACGTTTTATTAAATATCATATTATCATACCTATAATATGATAACTAGGTATATAAAATGTTTTAAATTATTTTTATTTCTTTAAATATTAAGTTCATGATTCCTGAACAAAATAAATTCTTATAATAATAAAATATGTATAAATTTAAAATATCATTCCTTAACTTATATAGAGCATAAAAGGTTTACAATGATTTATCATAATCAATATTTTTAAATTTTCTTTTGGCTCCATGTTTTATGGTTAATATAATATAAATGTAATTTCTTAAGAATTAAATATAATTTATTTATTGAAATAATGTCAAAAACAAATTTAGATATCAATACCTAATAATAAAATATGTATAGTGTACAAATTTAAAGTAATTCATATTGCAACAAAATGGTTTATATTATACAAGGGCATAGAATAAAATACTGTTCATTCTTAAATTGTCAATCCCTCTAACAATTTTTATTATAGAGGTATTTAATAACTGTACAAAAAAACACACAAACTAATAGTATCAAATAAACATAATGTTTAATATATTTTAGTTATCAACCGTATGATTAACACTATCGGTAATTTGTAAAATTACTAAATTATTAAGACTAAACCAATCATTGATACATTCTACATTTATAATACAAAAAATAGACATCGAATGGTAACATTTCACTTAAGATTTTTAATAGATTACTTTAGAAATATAATTTACTTTAGTATATTTATTATTATGTTACAATTGTTTAATATATTATACCAATTAATATTTTGCTGTGCTAATATAATACATTTCAAAATTGTTAAGTGTTTAAAATTTACCAATAACATATTTAAGCTCATGAACAAACAATATTTGTGGCTATAATTTAATACAGTAAAACCTATGAAATATGGAAACTGTTAGGACCGATAATTTTTTTTTCGATTTTAGACAGATTTTCATTTAATACAGGTTGTAAAATAATACATTAGGCTCGCTGGACCTTAACATTTATCCATAAAGGTCGGGCTTTCATAATATTCTGGTCCTACATTACACAGGTTTTACTGTAATATATATTATATTTAGTACTACATATACATTTCACTGGCTTAATAATTAAATATTTTCTCGAATTAAGGTAAAAATTCAAATTAAACTATGTTATTTTAATAACTGAACTGTTGTCTATATAGTTATCACTTTTATTATAATATATAATTTATTTCCACAATGATTCTAAATATAATATTATGTTAATTAAAATTAATTTGTAAAATGACAACAAATTATTATTTAACAATAAAGTTAAAATATTTTGTTCCTCTGATGAAAAAAAAATGATGGATAAATAAACCAACAGTCAACAATACAATAAAAATATTTAGTACAGAAAATAAACCTAAGGTACTTGTCTTGTATGCAGAATAATTTTGGTGATGTAAACAACTATACCTACAAGTATAAATGTTACAAAAAACTGTTGCCAGATATTTTTTTAAAAACAATTATAAAAATCAAAATAAACTATCAGTCTTTTTACATTATTATTTCCTAGTGTAAATAATAAATATAATATTACTATAATGTATTTAAAAGAAAGGAAGAAAAAAAAGTTTATGTAACAATAATTTATAATTAGTAAATTAACTGGTAATCATTTAAGAAATAGCTCGCATAACACAATAATATTTGTTATGTAGCATAAAAAACAAGTACCAAAATTAAATTAATATAACACAATGGTGTTTGGCAGTGATAGATAAAGAAGAAATTAATGTGTAGCTACTCATCTTCTCGATCAAGTGCAACTTATATATTAATATACTCTCCTTAATAGGGCCTTATTTAGATTTTAAAAAATACACACAACGTTTAAGCTTTAAAATCTAACATACACAAAAACTTGATAAACCTGGCAGTGAACAATTTCCGGATTCCCCCAGGAATTGTATTATTTGATGGTATTCTACCAATCAAATCACCACCTGAACACATGTCCTGTTTTATTGTTTGAGGAGCTCACTTCAAAAACTCAGGCAGTGTACACTTGTGGCTAGTGGGCAGCTCGAGTTCAGCAGAATATGAATTAGCTATGTGTTATAAAAAAAAATCGGTTTAATAATTTTTTTTTTTTAAATATAAACGAAATAATGATAAAAATGTATTAGTAAAAACTAGATAAAAATTAAAATAAATTGTGCATGGAAGCAAATCTATGAAATGGTTTTATTTAAACATATTAGGAGTAATTAGAAAAAATATTTTTAACTGTAATACAATAATGGAAACATATCTCCCCAAAACGAATGAATCTAATATAAAAGTGTCATACTATCATGTTTGTACTACTACTATTAAATATGATTTCCAAGATTATAGCGACAAAAAATGATGTGATATTAGGGTAATAATATCTAGTCCTGTGTTATTGCCACATATTTGAGAGGATGTGAACACACAGTCAAGTACCTTTATTACTATTTTCAAAGCTTATAAGTTGATTTTTCGGAATAAAAGATAATCCTCGTCGAGTTGTAAGAATTGTTTTGTGAGATAAGAAAGCGTATTATAAAAAAATGTTCATACATTATTTGAATATCATTACATTAGCTTACTGTGAAATAAAAGTAAGAACAATTACAGACATATAATATAACAATATTCTGCATGAATTTAAATACAATAAAATTAATATTTATAATTACACATCACACATCATTCCATATAATATGTATAAATATTTATTATACATTACACAGACATACATTAGGTATTCTACAGTGGGTGGCCCATTAAAATTAAAAAAAATAACACCCTGACAAACAAACCTCGAACACCAACTAAACATTATAAAAATGAAAACCAACCAATAAAGATGTTTTAATATAAAATGATAAAACTGTTTTATAAAATATTCAGAGGCAATTTACTTAAGTTGAATAAACAGTGTCTTTCTGTACTTATAAATTAACTGTAAATGATAAAATATAAACATTTTAGATAAAATAAAACAAAACTTAGGTAAATAAACAATGTTTAATTCTACAAATTAAAATACTGTTATTCTTTTGAACGTTTTATTAAAATTCAGATTCATATTTAATACCCACGCATAAAACAATTATTACTTCTCTAATGAACTATTAATATTTAAACCTTAATTTATTATAATGCAGTTATTAAAATTGTATTTAATTCTAACCAAGGGAAAATATTATCTTAAAACATTTTAATTAAGCTAAGTGTTCATCTATCAGAGTTGATGATAATTTGTACAATCCAGTATTCAAAATTTAAATTAATTCCATCACTAAATACAAATATTACAAAAGAGGACCAATAAAAACAGGATATAATTAATTTTTTTTATAGTTGAATTCCATTTTACAGTTACTATAAATTATTTATAAATAAACAAGTTTAGTTAAAAAATCAATATTTTACTGTCATATTCTGTTTGTAATTGGTTTGTTTGCAATTAATAACTAAAGTAATCCTAAAAATAAATTTAGGCTACAGTTTATAAATATATTAACTTCAATTCATCAAATTGTTTAAAAACATTGAAACTTAATGATGCAAAATAATGGATACAATACAAACATATCAGATTAGTGATGTGCCATTAGGAATATTCCCCCAAGGAATGTTCCTGGGAACAGGGAATATTCTCCAACCTCTCAGGAAATTTCTTAAAAAAAAATTGATAATTTTTTCGTTATTTTGTATTTTAATTTCAGTAGTCTAGTTTTATTTAATATATAAATGAAAGTTGGATCGTTTATTTTGTGATCATTGTATAGATTTTAACTAAAATATTAAATTATAGTTACTTAAAAACTTTTTTGTAAAGAATAAATATCTAAACTTTCATAATATCAATAAAGAGTTGTCATTTGGATAATTTACAACTATAAGTTTGATTTAAAACTGAAACCTATAATCAATATTTAAAATCTTATTATAAAATTCCCAAAACTACATTCCAGGGACTTAGCCCATCAATATAGCAGATATAACTCACTTTAAACATATAACCAAACTGCATTAATAAATATTTGGTAAATTTACTTTAAAAAAAAGCTATTGAACCTAACGTAAATATTAATTAACCATTAACAATAAATTGATTAAATCATTATTCATGGTGATTTCACAGAACTATAATAAATACAATTGCTACAAAACTTAATTTCAACCATCATTCATAAATAGTTTGTTAACTATAAACTTATGTGTATTGGTTAGAGGACTTTTGAATCACCTAAACTTTAAATAAAGCCAATTTTACACAATAGTAGTTATTCTGGTATTCCTAGTGTGATAGCCATAAACTAGTAAACTAGTTTTTAGGTCCACTTGAATTACAAAAATGTAAACTGGCCAAAGGAATCATGGTGAAAATATACAATGTTTGATGATAGAGCATGTCCTATTTATCAAACTATTTACCAGTATAGAAATATTTGCAGCTAATCAGAATACAGAAATGTTATTAATATTGGTTTTTTTTGACATTAATAAATCAAATGTATATAAACAAAACAGCTGATATTCACTTATTACTGTTAATTACTTATTTTTGCTGCAAAAATGTAGGTGCTATCTAGAATATTTTCTAGTGTATAGTTTAGAATGGTGTAGAGTTTAGTTTATACACCGACTAGTAAACTAGGTTAAACACAATATTTAAAGATAGAATTCAAGACATAGTACCATGACTATTATCGTGTGAAAAGAGCTGAAGTCATTGTATAATTTTTAAAACATTATATGTTTGCATTATCTATTATAATTAAAATTTAGCAGGGAAAGCTATATAACCTACAAATATTACTATATATATTTATGCCCATATTATTTTCTTTAATGAGCAATTATTAGACTAATTGTTCAAGGCTGGGCAAGTTAATTTTTTTTTTTAACCCAGTTAAGTTGTTAATATGCACCAATATAAAAAGTTAAAAGTTAATTTAAGTATATAAATATTTCAACTCAGTTAAGTTAAAAGTTAATACACACTTTTTGTTTACTTTTTATGAAGTTAAAAAAAGTTAATTTGCTTATACAACGCTAGAGTACTTAATTTTTTTCAACCCTAAACTAAATTATAGACTATAGTGTTTATACTTCATACAGTATTTCCATATAAGTTAGATTCAAATGAAATCATTTTTTAACTTTAAACAATTCACTGTGAATATTTTTTGACTATAAAACGAAATAGACTAAAATAATGAAATATTACTAAATTAAATACAAAATAAATTAACTTAACTTAACTTACTTTTTAAAATGAATAATTAATTCTTTAATTATTTCTATAATTCTTTAAAAGTTAAAATTATATTCACTTTTTAACTCAACTTTAACTTTTTAACTCGTTAATGCCCAGCCTTGCAATTGTTCATATCGCTGTCAATGTATATAAGTATAGTTTTAGTTATTACCTTTATGAGCTCCAGATCGTGTACTTTTCCATTCAGCGTCTTGTAACCAATCTGGGATAACATCCAGGAATTCCTCTTTCATAATTTTATCTTCACAATCTATTTTATTGGATGTACTATCTACAGAACATGAGTTTTCGATAGGCATATTCTCATCAATAGTGGTGCCATAAAACTGATTAACTTTTTCGTCATTTGAAACTATCTCCTTGTCATTAGTATTCTCCTTAACAGTTGCATTGTCTTCTGTTTCAGTAGACATATTTTCAACTAATTGAATACCTACGACATTAGTCTCTATCTTAGTATCTTTATATAGACTAGTAGTTTTGTTAAGAGATCCACATTCACTTAACTCAGATTCATCAATAACAACATTATCAACTTCAGTCAATATATTTGCATCAGAAGTATTTATGCTACTCGAAATGCAACTCAATGAATTTTCAAAATTGTTTATTTGGTCTAAAGTATTATCCGTTTTTTCTAATAATAGTTCAGTACTTTTTGTTTGATTATCAATTTCATTTGCAAGCTCATTAGATTGGATTCCATGAGGTTTATCGATAACATTTTCTGCAGATTTCTCAACTAAAACTGATTCACTTGGCGATGCTTCTAAAATTGCTTCATTGACAAAATCTGTAGATTCAAATGTTTCACTTATATCATTATCCACAGTAGAACTACAATTAGATTTACTTTGTCTTAGTTCAACAACAGGGGTATCTGTAGATTTCTCAACTAAAACTGATTCACTTGGCGATGCTTCTAAAATTGCTTCATTGACAAAATCTGTAGATTCAAATGTTTCACTTATATCATTATCCACAGTAGAACTACAATTAGATTTACTTTGTCTTAGTTCTACAACAGGGGTATTATTGTCATTTTCATTAAAATCAAAAACTTTATTAGGAGAACAGGTAATAGTTCCTTGAACTTCCCTATTTCTGGATATATCTTTACTTATGATTGGTATACTATCATTTTTGTTCTGTAAAACTTTACTTGTTGGTATAACTTCTTCATTTGGAGATTGTACAGCATTACCAGATGACTGTACATCTATCATTGTTTGTAAAACTTCTTCATTTGAAGATTGTGCAAAATCACTAGACGATTGTACTCCACTTGTATTGATTTCTTCATCTTCATCCTCACCATCGTTGTCCCAATCTTTCAATAACTCTTCTTGCAGTTTTTGTTTTTTAACCTCTGATGGTTTAGTCTTTAAATTCTTTCGTTTATTAGAGGTAGAACTGTTTGATGATTTGCTAGTCGTAACCTCATCTTTACGTTTTTTATGGCCGGCTATATGCCATTTTAAGTTATCATAACGATTAGTTGTGAATTTACAGCCATCTTGTGACTGACAACAATATTCAGTATTTGTTCGTTTACATGTCTTACCAACCTTTGATTGAGTTGATGTTCTTCGTTTGGAAACAGGTTTAGGTTTTGGTTGATTAGGAGACTTAGGAGTCTTAGGAGTCTTAAGAGTTTTAGGAAGTTTAGGTGCTGGTAAAGATTTTTTTTCAACTTCTTTCTTTTTGGACTTTTTTGTATTAGTTGGAGTGAATAATTCTTTGACGATGGACTTAACTTTTTCTTTTTCTTTTTTTAAATTTTCAAAAATATGTATATCACCTCCAATAAGATGTTCCATTGATTTTACCTCTTCGATAAAAAATTCCATCTTAAAATTACCAATCACTGGCAAACCTTTCAGCTGATTCTTATATAATGCTGTAAAATACATGGAAGCAACATAAGAAAATAAATATTGTTATAAGTAGGTAGGTACCAGAGTTGGAACGTAATTACTATAATACAGTTGAGTATAAAACACATATTACCTATACATACAGTATAAAACTACTTAATTGTTATATACTGTATAAAAGTATTTATATTTTTTTACTATTACTGGTGCATTGAACTATCAGGTATAATAATATTAAAATTAATAAGTCGTAACCACAGAGACATTTAATCACATATTCATTTATTGGTTTATCTTTATTAAAATAGAAAATATAATAACAAAAAAGTATTTAAATTGTTTTATTAAAAATATAAATCCACTAAGATAGCTGATATGATTTGTTGTAATAATTTATTTATGAAAGGAATGTTTTAGATTTGATGCGTCGCTGAGAAGGTATTATCTAAACAATGAAGTGATTTGTTTAATATATTTTTTAGGTATTTTGAAACCTAATGAACTTTGAATATTTATAAATTTCAAAGAATAAAAATGAACACATATGTTATAGTTGTTATACAGTTTTATACGTAGTGTATTATAATATACGTAACATATATAACAGTTTATATGTGTATATTATCAACTCTGGTAGGTACATATTATAATAATTCAAAAATCAATACTTACAGAACCCTTTTTCAATAAATTCAATTTTTCGATCACACGGGTATAGATATACTTCTTGGTCGAATTCAACAACATGACTATTAATAGAATTTTAAATTAATGTCATAAAATAACAAAGTTTATAGTAAAATGTTAACTTACTATTTGTCATCTTTAAATTTAACCACACAAGAAATAGGTTCAACTTTTTTCACATAATCTTTTAATTCTTGAGGTATTGTATTGTCTTGGGGATCTATAACTGTACCGGGCCACCAAACACGTTTGAGCAGTTTTACCCAAAGTAAAGTACCCAGTGCGTAAGTGGGGTTTATATTAGACTTCGGTTCACTCATTTTTGCAATGTTGGTATTTTATAATCACCTATAAAAAGTATAAAATAACAATTTATTTGACTAGTAAAATAATATTTAGTGTTGACATTGTTGAGTTGATCAAACCACAAAGCTAAACAAATTAAAAATAATAAAGGTATAGAAAAACTTAAATAAAAAAGAGCCCAATTTAAGGACCCCCGCTCGATGAAGTCAATATATAAACAACATACAATTTTATCACCACCTCCCATGGAATTTGTTTTGGTTGTAAATTATGATTAGCGAGAGTATATAGGCAGGGCTGTGGAGAGAAACTCGGGCTCGGGGTCAATACATACTTTGGGGGCCCTACTAATTTTGACCACCTAACGGTTAGACGTTATTAAATACTTATCAATTTCTTAGTTTTACCTAATTGTTTTTTAAATTAAAAAAATTTAGTCCCAAATTTCCAGGCACGGGAGAATTTCTTTCTCCTCCCCCTTCTACAGGTACCGGTTACAGTCATGGATAAAGCGTAATAAAATAAATATCAGTAAATGTATAAAAGTAGGTAATATAATATACACCGTTCTATAAAGATGTATTGATTATAATTATTCAATCACATAGAAATTAGGCAAAATATGTTTTAATAGTAGGTACTCATTATACCTAATAGGATATAAAAAATAGGCTAGCTCAGTCTGCCATTTGCATAACATGAGACAATTAATCTCGGTTCATGAGCCCTAGCTCCAGTACACCACGTTAGGTAAAAACGTCAAATGCATTTTGCTTAAAAAAACAAAAATATTAGTTTTGAGTCAATTATCAAGTTATCAAATTAAGATATTAAAATTATAAATAGGTAGGTAAATAATAATAAAAATAAATCTTAAATATTGTAGGTAAAGGTAGTACCTACTTATTTTATGCTAGAGCTGTTAAAAAAATTGTTTTGTCTCTTTCCCCATTTAAATAACTTCAACATCACAAACATTAGTATTAAGTAAATTATCTGTAAATAAAAAGTTATATTATAGATAATAAGTAAATAATAATAAAAATAAATCACAGCTATCGTGTAGTAGGTATATGCTAATAACAATATACAATTAAAAAAGTTGGTATATCTCTTTCCTCACTTAAATATTCTTTACATAAATATAATGAATTTAGTTTATTCTGTAATCCTGCATATATTTTTGATTTATTTTTATTTTGTAATGTACCCAGTGGATTTTGATTTGTTGTTTGCCACTTCCAATTGGATTTTTATTACTAATACACATATAGAGGGATGGCAATGGCCCGGGCCCGATAACTTTAAGAACCAATGATTCCACCCATTTAATGAAATTTAATTTAATATTATGAACATTCTAAAAGTGAGGTGGATACATAAGTATTATCAAAATATTCCAAAATGTATGAAGCATTTTCAGGCATTATGCTTTTCAAGACCATCATTCCTTCAGCTAAATTACACACAGGTGAAAATGCTAATGTATCCAACTGGCGGCAAAATAAAGATAATATATAATCATATAATTATGAATAATTTTATTTAGTCCCCCTCCCCACAAAAAATACCTCATAACCTCATAGGCGAGCCGAATATATACAATGGCAGTAATTTGATCGGAGGTAACAGCCTGCAATATTTGTGATTTTTAAGTAAAATACATTAGACATTGTTTACCTTGCCTTTAAGGTCAGTGTCAATTTTGCCGATCATCCGTTATATATTATAATAGCTTCGATATAAGGAAAAATACTCTAGGTACCCTAGTTTAAATTACCACTGTATTTTCAATTAAATGAAAATCCCAGTTTATTTGTGGTACCTGCCAATGCAAAACACCAAATGAAGCATTGTTATGAGCAAATTGACTTCTAAGCATTGGTCAGTGTTACAACGCAGGTCCGTTGATGAGAACCAGTGTCGTCTTCGACCAACAATTAGTGCGCGATACGAACCAAGGGGTGTGTATTATAATCGTATCATTCGAGGGCACTGTTTGGCCCTGGCACACACACACTAATTGTTGACATGTGTCGGCGGTCGACAAAAACGGTCGTAGGGTCGCATCTACCCAACAAGAAAATACGTCGTCGGTGTCAAAGGACAACGATAAATTAAAATAGGTAATATGTATCTATTCGGCGACCTTGTCGCAGAACTTACCAAGGACGTGTAGTCGATTTCGAGGAAACGGGTCTAAACAGACTAGGTCCGGATGTGCAGTATGGCGTCTGGCCGAAGAACGCGTTATCGCCGGTGATCGAACGTGTGCGCAATCGTCGTGTGCTCCTCCAGAGGAAATCGAATAATTCGATGCGTTATCCAAACACCAAATCACCGCAATCGAATGACGCGGGGGGAATGCAACACCGAGTGGATTACAATATTATATTGTACTTGGTTAGCGTCGTCGACACAAGGGCCAAGCGCATAGGCTCATGCAAGCTCTAGGCGAGCGGCAAAATCGCAAGACGCAACAACATGGCCGTTGTAGGGCGGGAGTGAGTAGTGGGGACGGGCGGACGGCAGGCTGCAACGGCGTTCGGCGAGAGAGGAAAAACAAATTCCTGCGTAAGCTAGGGGAAACGCACAGTGCAGGAAACGTAAATGGACGCGACGCGCCGACGCCATGTCCAACCAATCGGAGCGTTCGGTTACCGCGTCAACTATAAAATTATAGCCTACTATAATATATAATATCTATATCTACTCTGGACAGTGTGCCCTTACCACACCCATGAAAAAATACAAATTGTATGATATTATTATAAAATAATAAATATGTATGCATAATAATATTATTATAATATATCTATGACCGGACGAGAGCACGTGACAAACACCATTAATTTATTCTTCGACAACAACACCGGCTCGCTTACAGTCACTATTAAAAAGAACGATTCTTTAAAAATCGTGCATACAGTGTAGGGTACAATTGTACGTACTACACGGGGACGAGATAGACTGCGAGAGAAAAACACTGTAAGGTCCCCCCCCCACACACGTCTGGCCTACTGCAGCGTTAGCGTTGGCAACAAATGCTTCTAACAACAATATTTACATTTTACCTTTACGCCGCCATGGCAATAGAAATTAGAATATTGCCTCCACCGCTGTAATTGTGTGTAGTGTGTTCCAAACAGCAAACACATGGTTCTATGCCCAAACGCAAAGTTCTTGACTTCTTGTTCTCTCGGCTACCTCGTCCGCTTGTTTCTCTCTCTAAACGCTGTCCGTTGAGACCAATTTAGTTTTTAAGTTTTGTTAAAAATGTTCGGGCTGGTCAATGGTCATAAATCTTGAACATTTGTAAATTTGTTACAAGATCCGATATAAGTTGTTATTAGAGTCATTTTTGAACATTAGAATTACATAACTACCTCATACCTGCCGCGTATAATATTTTTTTCATGAAATTGGATATTCGACAAAAAATATTGATTTTAGTTGTTTTGTTGTATCGATATAGGTTTATATTTGTTGTATTGTTGTTAACCATCGATATATTTATGAATATCTGTGGGAAATTTACATTTTTGGTTTATTATTAATGATTTGGTGGAGATTTCCCCAAAGTTTCTTGTAGGATGATATTCTCTCAAATCTATTTTTATACTAACAATAATAATTCCATTGGTAATGATATGATAGCAGCCCTCAGCTACCTTTGTTGTAAATAAGTAAAACAGAACATAATAATAAAAATAATGTTTATTTTACTTTTACGTAACACCAATGACTTGATTATTAATTAAATTAAGATCAGAAAAAATGCAATTAAAATAAATAACAGGTACATTTTTTCAGTTTATAATTTATTTTTATAATATGAGTATAAACCATAATTACTCGGATACCAAAGGTACTAGATTCTTTCAAATTAATATGTGCAATATTTTTTTTTAAAAATAGATAAAATAAATTAAACGCTTAGAAAGAATTGAAATATTGTATTCATTTCTATTTTACTTAAGTATACAGTATACTTTTTTTATAAAAACTATAATGTGATTATTTAACATGGCTTTTCCTAGAGATTTAAGAAATAACTAATAAATGAAAATATGAAATATTGGAAGGCATGGAGTTTAGCTGGAAATTGAGTTTGAATTATTTTCTTCAAAATGTGTGTTTTGAGTTTTCCACGCTTAATGATACTAAGTTGGTCAAATTTTCTGTAGAAGTTATAAGATTAAAAAACTACAAAACCTTAAAATCTTATTATTAAAATTCCAAAAATAATATTATTTTTTTTTTTTTTTTTTAATTGAGTTTTTCCCTTATAATTTTGGTAAATCAGAAATTACCTATTGTACTTAGGTACTGTATATTATATTGTTAGTAAAGAAATTAATAAAAAAAAAACCCCGATGGATGGGAACTCGCAAACTCCTGTATAACTTTGAAACTAACTCCAACCGACAAATTCTTTTTGCATCACTGATAGCATTTATGAACTGAGGTTTCCAAAAAAAAAAATTCCAAAATCTAACCACATTTATGAGTCATAAATTATGACCCAAAATAATAGGTACCTTACATATTTGAAGAAATAACTTTTTGGGGGGCTGAACAGTTTGTTGCCCTGGGGCGCAAATGCGCAATATGTTCAAATACTGCCCTGGTTGCACTTTAATATAATAGTTGGTGTTATATAAGTTTTTTGACTGTTTCATTTGCAGTAGATAAAAGTATAAAACCATATACAATATATATAAAGACTATACATATTCATCACACAATTCTACTACAGCTTAAAAGTGAAGAATGTCATATTCTTGAAAACATTACATGAAAAGTCGCATTTATTTCAAAGATGAAACAAAATAATATTTAAATTCTATGGTTTCAATAATAAAAAGGTGGGTAAGTGGATGTCGCTCTGCTGTACTGTAGGTTTCAAGTGGGTCACTGTATAATGGATGGTATTAAATTTGAATTCAATGATACAATATATCATTGTATAAGAAAAACGATTCTGAGTTAAGACGGTATGTCAGTCTAGGTT